GGACTTTTTAAAGAGGTTTAGGTTTAGGCCACGAAAAGATTTGCAATGTTTTATGTTAAACAAAATGTAACATGTTTGTAGAGGTCTAGAGGGGGATAGCAGCTTTTACACAGAATAAGACCCCAGGGAGACACAGGGAGGGCATCTGACACACAGGGACATTTCAAAACATGTTTGTGGGGGTCTAAACTACAGGGATGGCAGACCAGATATTTCACAGCTACTGAAATAATTGGATTATTTTGCTAGTCTAATCGCAATCACCACATTTGATTTGATGTCACTTTAAAGTATCCATAAACTATTACTGTATAATATCTCTCTCACCTGAGTCACCTCGTTTGTTCAAAGCAAAGTCCACGTCCAAGAAGTCTTTGGAGACCTTCCTCTTACACACAGGGCAGCTCCTGGTCTTCTGCTGGGTCCAGGTCTGCTGGAGGCAGGTCCTGCAGAAGCTGTGGTGACAGCCCAGAGACACAGGCTCAGAGGAAGTGTCCAGACAAATGGGACAGGTCAGGAATGGTTTAAAGTCCACCTCTGCCATCTTAGACAGACCCACTCAGGACCAACGATCTCTCAGACTTAACCCACCACAACCCCAACCAGTCCAAAACTGACGCGGTTCCTTCCAAGTGAATGCTGCTGTTAAACAAAAACACTTTCTGTTGAAGAGACTATGCTGCTGGGCCAGTCTCACTGGGTCACATGACTCCTGTGGAATGAAACTCAGGAGAGACAGGTCCGTGACCTGGTTTATTGGCATACAGAGCATTCAGGTCATTCACAACATTCATAAAATTCAACATTCAAATAGGAAAACACTCATATAAAGCTCTCTCTGATTGGAACAATCTTCCCTCATTGATTCGCACATTAGCTTCTGTCCTTTCATTTAAAAATGCTCTGGTTCAGTATTTACAGAATCCGTGTCATTGTTTTTGTTGAATTGTGTTGTTCATCTTGTTGTATGTTGTGACTGTATTTGAACTCTGTCTTAGTTTTTGTTTAAATTTGATTTATTATGTGCATAACATTCAAGTGTGAGTGAGTGAGTGTGTGTGGTTTGTTGATTTTTTATTTTTTTTTTTAATGTATGTGCTCTACTGTGTGCCCTCTTGTATCTGTCTTCTGCTGTTGGAACTATGAGGAGCCTCGAAAACGAGATGGCGAGACATCTCAAGGGGCTTATCCTCCAAACACATACATTCATTTTAATAAAAAGAAGCAGAGACCAGACTCACTTTATGTGTCCCTGAGGTGCAGTGTAAGTACATAGAGCACTAAAATACAATTATAAGAGAGAAGCTCAAACAAACGTCTCAGTGCAGCTCAACAGGTCCAGTCATCAGATTCAGTGTGAGGACAGTTTGAGTAAAAGCCCTCAGGACTAAAGTGTCCAACAGAAGAGCTCTGTCTCCTAAGCCTCTCACTCCGCTCTGGTGTCTGGGTCAGTGAAGTGTTTCCTCTGGAACATCTTCTGCCATTTGGTGTTAAAGTCTGTTGCACTGTGCCAACATCTGTGCCATTTCAGTGCAGCTAAAGCCTCCCTCAACACACAGGCCTGTGCTCTTCAGAAGACTCTATAAAACCTCATTCACACAGAGATTGGGACATGCAGACCACTACATTCAAGTGATGTGAGTGTGGCATCTGGGTGAAAGAAAGTCCACTAAACTTTGATGAAATTTGATTTGAAAGAATCTGTGTATCATTCATTCATTTGTTTTTCAATATAAAACCAAAAATAAGAAAATGAAAAAAACAACAGTTTTCTTCATTATTGTCACCAAAACCAAAATGAAAAAAAAAAAAACAGATAATGATTTGTTTTTTCAGTTTTCGATTTTGTGTTTAAATGAAGAATGGAAAAAAAAAACAGATAACGGCCGTTTCCCGTTTACGTGACTTCCGTGACTGCGATGTCGGACTTTTGCACTACAGACTGAACCAGGACTGATCCAGGTCTGGGACCAGAGCAAACTCCAAGCCTCTGCAGGGTCCGAGCCTCAGCTTCGAGCTGAGGCCTGGTCCTGCTCTCGTCTCGGTCTGGTCCCGGTCTTGTCCCGGTCTGGATCAGTGCTGGTTCAGTCTGTATGCGGTGCAAAAGTCCGACATCGCAGTCATGGAAGTCACGTAAACGGGAAACGGCCGTTATTCGTTTTTTCCATTTTTCATTTAAACACAAAATCGAAAAATGAAAAAAAACAACAACAAAAAAAAAAGACAAATAATGGAGAAAATTGTTGTTTTATCGTTTTCTTATTTTTGCTTTTATATTGAAAAGCAAATGAACGAATGATACACGGATTTGAAAGTCTCAAAACTCAAGCATTTTTAATTTTTGTATTTTCTTTAAATTAAGCAGCACATTTTGAGGAGCCTGTGATCAATGCGAGCACAGTCCTGTTTAGGAGTTTGATTTTGAATAAAAAGGTGAGAGGGACTGTAATTGTAATTTGTCACTGTAATTTGATGTCTGACAGACTTGTTTAACAGCACAAATCAGCTCACCTTTCTGCTCAGACTGTGTCACAATAAAGCTCATATTAAGTTTTAACTTGAATAAGACAGCTTCAGATTGTCAGTTAGCTTCACACTCCCAGGGACATCAGCTGCATAATTGGTAATTGGTACTTTTCAGATTCTAGAATGTGATGAAATCTCCATTGAACCTGGTCATTTCTACGAGGGACTAGAGCCAAGAGTCACTGTATTACAACACAAACCTGCAGTCTTTGACCTCCCCTGTCTGTGTTAAATATAATTGACTTGGATAATGTTGTGATGTCACCTGAAGCACAGCGACACACACACACACACACCTCCCATACAACTGTGGCTCTCAAACTTTTTCCCCAGTTTCAAATATTATGCAAAAACAGACCTGGAATTGTGTTTTGTTTCAGTCATATGTTTGTGTAACCCTTTAGTTTATTTTAATTTGTCTGTTTACCTTGTGATGTCATGTGGTGGTAGCTTTGGTAACACTTTATAATAACTACACCTTATTTAGCCTTCATAAAGCATGAACAAAGACTTAATTAATAATGAACAAAGACTTAAGTAATAATGATTCACGCTTAGTAACTACTTAATTACCTACACTTAACTTGCACTTAATTCACTTGTGCTGTGAATAGTTAGTTATTTCATACTTAATTACTCATGAACTAACCATTTGTGTGAGCATTTGTAAATGCATATTTAAGTACAAATTTGGGCATTTATTACTGATTAGTAAGTTATGAGAGAATGATTTACTAATAATGCAATGCAATGATCATTCCGGCAGTGTTTATCTGCCAGTGACTGCAGTTGACAGCCAGAGCACGATCAAAGCTCTGCAGGACTGTCTCAGGGACGTACAGACCTGGCTGAGCGCAAACTGAACTGAATCTAAATCATAAAAAAAAAAAAAAAACAAGATTGTGGTGTTTGGGCAAACTAACCCACTGCTTGAACAGGACAGTGTGATTGTTCCTCTGTCTTCCTGTTGTCTCCTGCAGTGAGGAATCTTGGAGTAATTGTGGACTCCATGTTCAAACTGGACAAGCATGTTAGCTCTGTGATTAAGTCCATCTTCTTTCAGTTAACCCTTTCAGGCTCAAATTAAGTTTTAGTAACAGGAAAAATCAGATATTTGGGGAAAATGATCATATGGGGTAGTAATATACAATCCTGACTTTTTTTGAGCGAGACCTTCACATCCAATGTGTTCTGGGATGTTGTAGATTTGCAGTGTGGTAAATGAACACTGAAGACTGAAAATGATATGAACACTAACTTTATGTGTAAACCACTTTTCATAACAATGAAAACGTAAAGCCCAGTGTAACAGCTTTACAGTGGCAGGACAACATCACTTTTTCGTGTGGTTCTCCAAGAAACAATTGTTGTCCTTTGTAAAGCACAAAAGTACTTTGCACTTCTGGCAGGTCGTTTGTGTGGAGCCATTCTTGCACAGTCTGCATCGTCCATGTTTATCAGCATGGATGGGAAAAAGGCTCCTGAGTAAAAAAGCCACATAAAACATGGATGTGGAAGTAAATAGGTAATTGGCATTTATGCAACCCGACCTCCCACGGGCAGAGTTTGAAAAAGCGATCCACGCTTTTGTAACATCACACCTGGACTATTGTCATTCTTTGTATGTCGTGTTAGACCAGGGCTCCTGCAGCACTTACAACATGTCCAGCTCGTCTGCTGACAAATACTAAGAAATGTGAACACATCACACCTCTGCTGTGTGACCTGCACTGGCTTCTGTCTTATATCAGGTGCAATTTAAAATGTTATTGTGTTCAAATGTTTGCACTCCATGGGTCCAGTCTATTTGAGGGAGTCACTGCAGCTCTGTCCTCTGCCCAGAGCCTGAGATCAGACCAGCTCCTGTTGGTCGAGCCCAAAACTAGACTCAAGACGAGAGGTGACAGAGACTTTTTCTGTGGCAGCGGCCAGACTGTGGAACAACCTTCCTCTTCCAGTCAGATCCTCTCAGTCTGTAACACAGTTTAAGACCAGACTGAAAACTCACCTCTTCTCCCTGGTGTTTAGTACGAGCAAGTCAGGTTATCTTGGTGTTTTTAATGTAGTTTTCACATGTTTTCTGTATATATGTGTTTGTAACTGTTTCTTCTATGTTGTTGACTTGTATGTGAAGCACTTTGGTCAGCTGAAGTTGTTTTAAATGTGCTATATATATACAATTTAATGAATTTAATTGAAAAGTTAGTTAAGTCTTTTTGAGAGCTTCTAAAGTGAAGACTAAATGGTTAGTTCATGAGTAACTTAGTAACTATTTACAGCACAGGCGAATTAAGTGCAAGTTAAGTGGTAATTAAGGTAGTAATGAAGTAGGAAATTCCAGAGCTGAAATCATCCACATGTTCCTAAATAAAACACAACTCCAGGTCTGTGTGTGATGTGTAAAAGAGATTGGAAAACAGCCCTTTAAACTGTAAATGTTCCTTATACCATGTCTGGTTTGTGTTTTTGTCCAGCTGCACATCGCCATCAGCAAAACCAGCGCTCGGGTCGTGATCGACTGCAAATCTGTCACGGAGAAAAGCATCAACGCCGCAGGAAACATCAGCACAGACGGAGTGGAGGTCCTGGGGAGGAGGGTGCGCTCCAGGGACAACAGGGACACCTCTGCTACGGTGAGGACTCCGGGAAGGGAGGAGGAGGAGAGGAGAGGAGGAGAGAAGAGGGGATGAGGAAAGAGGAGAGAGAGGAAAAGGACAAGAGAGGAGAGGAGGAGAGAAGGGGGGATGAGGAAAGAAGAGAGAGAGGAGGAGTGAGTGGAGGAGGAGAAGAGGATGTCCAAGGAAAACTGTGCTTATGTAAGGATTTTGTGAAGGGAGGAGGAGGAGAGGAACAGGAGAGGAGGAGGTGGCGAGAGAAGGATGAACAGGAGAGGAGGAGAGGAACAGGGAAGGAGGAGAGGAACAGGAGAGGAGGAGGAGGAGAGGAGGAGAGAAGGGGGGATGAGGAAAGAGGAGAGAGAGGAGGAGGAGTAGAGGAGGTCCAAGGAAAACTCTGATTACGTAAGGACTTTGTGAAGGGAGGAGGAGGAGGGAGAGGAGGAGGAGAGGAACAGGGAAGAAGGGGAGGAACAGGAGAGGAGGAGGAGAGGAAGAGGAGAGGAGGAGAGGAACAGGAGATGAACAGGAGAGGAGGAGGAGAGGAATAGAGGAGGAGGAGGAGGAGGGAGATGTCTTATCACCATCAGATCTGACTTAACAGCACAAAACTGTGGAAGACATAGACAGAAAGGACCACACTGCTCTGTCAGGTATTGTCTGTAATAGTCAGACTTGGGGACTTGCAAGTCGTGACTTGGACTCGAGTCAAACTTGAGTGACTATTTTTAAGCCTTCACCGCAAAAAAACTATATCTAAGTTAAAATAAAATGACTTAAATTAAGAACATTTGACTTTATTTGAGTCGATTCAACTTGACAAGTAAAATGATCTACCAATGGAATAAGCGTGTTTTTCTTCATCCAAGCAATATTTGATTTTGTTTATTTTAGGTGCAAAAGTTGTAGTTTTTTCTTATTTTAAGAGTAGCAAGTTGTGTTTTCATATTTTAATCACAGAAAGTCTTGTTCCACTGGCAGATCATTTTACTTGTCAAGTGAAATTTACTGAAATCATAATAAAACTTTCTTAATTCAAGTCATCTTAACTTGGATAGATTTTTTTTTTACGGTGTTGAGACTTGCCTTGATAAAATGGACTAAGACTTGGAAGATGACTTGGACTTGAAGGTCAGTGACACGGGACTTGACTCGGACTTGAGCCCTGTCACTTGAGACTCGATGCTTCTCCTAGAAAATATATGTTTTAGGAAATGCTTTTCTCTTTACAGTTGATAAATTTTTGATGAACAAACTGGAACATCTTTATTTGTTACTTTGGTTGAACTGAAGTACTGTGAGATGGTATCCTCAAATGTACTACAGTCATATACAGTACAATACAGTCATATACAGTACAATACAGTCATATACAGTACAATACAGTCATAGGCAAGGCAAGGCAAGTTTATTTGTATAGCACAATTCATACACAAAGTGCTTTACAGAATAAGAAATACATTAAAATCATAATAAAAACAAATAAAAACATAAATAATCATGAAGATTAAAATTAAAAAAGAGAGACATAAATTGGAGAGAAGAGTGTGGAATGAAAACATATACATATACAGTACAATACAGTCATATACAGTACAATACAGTAGAACAGAACTACATAGACCATGATCTTTCCATTTTGGTGCAGACTACATGACAAAATAACTGTTATTAAGCATGTTTAAATCTGAATGATTTCTTCTCACTAAGAATTTGCATTTGTACAACTCTTATTTAAATACTCACTCATATATGAACATACCATGATTTTTAAGTACAGTTTAGTTTAAAAGTCATATCTATTACAAAAATCGAAGCTGCTGTATTTGGTACTTTGGTTTAAGGACTTGAAATGGCTCAAAGAAGATGACTTGGACTTGACTTGGACTTATAGGTTAGTAACTCAAGATTTGACTTGGATTTGCCTGTCTTTGACTTGGGACTTGACTCGGACTTGAGGTTAAAGACTTCAGATTTACTTGAGACTTGCAAAACAATGACTTGGTTCCACCTCTGGTCATTGTAATGTGTTGGAGCATGCATCTTTTTTACTTTTCTTAATACTGCTGTTGTTGTGTGTTGAGGATTTCATGAAGAGTTTTTGTGTTGTGTTCCAGTTTGAGCTGCAGAGTTTTGACATCGTGTGCAGCACGTCCTGGGCCAACAGAGACAAGTGCTGTGAGCTGCCAGGCCTGGTGAGCACCTCTCCCCCACATGCTCCTACACTGTCACTGCTGTAACCCTGTTCTAATGTGAGGAAATGTCCCACACTGAGGCTTTAACCCTGTTCTAATGTGAGGAAATGTCCCACACTGAGGCTTTAACCCTGTTCTAATGTGAGGAAATGTCCCACACTGAGGCTTTAACCCTGTTCTAATGTGAGGAAATGTCCCACACTGAGGCTTTAACCCTGTTCTAATGTGAGGAAATGTCCCACACTGAGGCTTTAACCCTGTTCTAATGTGAGGAAATGTCCCACACTGAGGCTTTAACCCTGTTCTAATGTGAGGAAATGTCCCACACTGAAGCTTTAACCCTGTTCTAATGTGAGGAAATGTCCCACACTGAGCTTTAACCCTGTTCTAATGTGAGGAAATGTCCCACACTGAGGCTTTAACCCTGTTCTAATGTGAGGAAATGTCCCACACTGAGGCTTTAACCCTGTTCTAATGTGAGGAAATGTCCCACACTGGGGCTTTAACCCTGTTCTAATGTGAGGAAATGTCCCACACTGAAGCTTTAACCCTGTTCTAATGTGAGGAAATGTCCCACACTGAGGCTTTAACCCTGTTCTAATGTGAGGAAATGCCCCTCAGTGGGGCTTTAACGAACACAAATTATGCAAAATGAGCTTTTGTCAATGCTTTTTATGATTCTTTCATCAGAAACAGCTGGAGTTGTATGCAGTGTTCTTCACACTTGTTTATTATAAACAGGCAGGAAAACAAGCAAACAGTATTCATAAAGATTAGGGATGTAACAATAACTGGAACATCAGGATATCGTATCATCAAAGGTTTCACAATAATATCGAGGTACCAGTCTCTTCACTTAAATGAATAGTTTTTGTGTGGCAATAGCTAAAAATAACAGAAAGGAACTACATAGACCATGATCCTTTGCTCTGTTTCAGGGCAAACTGCATGAAGAAATAAAAGTTCGAAGCACTTTTAAATCTTAGTTCTTTGAATTAAGTCTTGTAAGGCATTTTAAGAGGAAAAAGTAGAATATTCACAGTTTTGTTCACCTCCACAAAATATCGCAATAAATATCGAACCGAGACATTTGGATACCGTTACATCCCTTCATAAAGAATAAAGATTACATGAAACATGATTCAGACTGATGACAACAAACAAAAATGAACAAATACAGATTCATAAAAAAGATGTTAAACTAATTTGTTTTCTGTATTACAAAATATGTTTTTACACAAAAGAATAAAAAAAAAAAAAAAGACTTCTGTGATTTTATGGTTAACTAAATATATATTATTATAAACCAGTATTTGAAAAAAAAATAAAATAAAATGTTATCCTGATCAAACCGAGTTGTTTTATTCGTTACTCTTTGCCTCAGAAATGTGTCCTTACATCTGTCATTGTTGATATGAATTCACTGTGAATATGACTGAACTGGACGCCTCCTGGTTATGTGGAACAGAGTCACCTGCAGGATACTTAGATCACCTGAAGGGATTGTATCAACTACCAGACAATATTCACATCTGTTTTCATCTATTCAAACTAATACAATGTTATTTTTGATCCTTTTGTCACAGTAAAGAGTTTTATTCTTATATTTTATGTTTGTATTGTATTGTTTCAAATATAATTGTACTTTCTGGTTGGACACGGGCTGCAGATGTGACATAAGTAGAGGTAATTCCATAACTGTTGCTTTTAATACATATAAATGACATCACTTTTATTGAGTTAAATGAAGATTTTAACTGTTAGAAAAAGTTCATCCTTGTGCATAATTTGCTTTTCATTTTGGATGGATGTTTTTGACTTTTCTTCACTGCCATAGAACTGATGTAAAACTATAAATGCACTTTAATGAATCTGTCTATATAATGTAGTTTACACAAAGCTCATGAATCATTTGTTCATCTCAAACTGGTCTTTGTGTTCAGAGGAAGGAGGTGGACTGTCCAGCCATGCCCAAAGCCTGCACCTGCACCCAGGACAGCAAAGGCCCCCCAGGACCCCCGGGACCTCCAGTGAGACCCATACCCCCACCCACACAGCACCCACACCACAAACACAGCATCCATACACTACCCATACACCCACAGAGCACCCATACACCACCCATGAACCACCTATACCCCCACCCACACAGCACCCACACCACAAACACAGCATCCATACACTACCCATACACCCACAGAGCACCCATACACCACCCATGAACCACCTATACCCCCACCCACACAGCACCCACACCACAAACACAGCATCCATACACTACCCATACACCCACAGAGCACCCATACACCAACCACCCATGAACCACCTATACCCCCACCCACACAGCACCCACACCACAAACACAGCATCCATACACTACCCATACACCCACAGAGCACCCATACACCACCCATGAACCACCTATACACCCACCCACACCGCACCCACACAGCACCCACACCACATACACAGCATCCATACACTACCCATACACCCACAGAGCACCCATACACCACCCATGAACCACCTATACCCCCCCACACAGCACCCACACAGCACCCACACAGCACCCACACCACAGACACAGCATTCATACATTACCCATACACCCACACAGCACCCATACACCCACCCATTAACCACCTATACACCCACCCACACCGCACCCACACAGCACCCACACCACATACACAGCATCCGTACACCCACACAGTCCCCATACACCACCCATGTACCACCCACTCACCCACCCACATGGCACCCACACAACACCCACATCACAAACACAGCATTCATACACTACCCATACACCCACACAGCACCAGTATACCACCCGTGAACCACCCATACACCCTCCCACACAGCACTTACATCATAGACACAACATCCATACACCGCCCACGAACCACCCATACACCCACCCATACGGCACCCACACCACAGATACAGCAACCAAACACCACCCAGGGCCCCCAGGACATCCAGTGAGATCCATACCCCCACCCACACAGCACCCACAAAGCACCCAGACACCACCCATACACCCATCCACAATGCATATATATATATATATATATATATATATATATATATATATATATATATATATATATATATATATATATATATATATATATAAACTTTTCAGAATGATGGAAAATTAGGAACAGTGCCATAGTGATTAACAAATTAAAACACAATACAATATATTTTAAATGGGCAAAAGTCCTCAACATGCTGCATATAAGAGACACTCCAGTTTTAAAGTATTTGTACAGTTTTATCTTTAATAGTCCCAAATTATGCAGAATTGACTGAAATTTAAGCCATGTTATAACACTGTTACCTCCTCAGAAACATACCTGGAGATGTGTTTTGTTTCATTTCATGTTTGAACAACCTTTAGTTTTAGTATTGGTTTGTGTACATCTCCAAAGCTCAAAATGCTCTGTTCCACCTTGTGATGTCCTGTAATGGTTTTTAAGTTTGAGTATTGAAGTAATGAAGGTGTGTGGCGTATGAGTTTAAAAGCACAGTGGAGCACTTGCTGTATTACCGCATGACATCACAAGGTGGAACAGAGTGTTTTCTGTTTGAGAGAAGAACTCAGCCTAACTGTGCAGGGTTTGTGTGTTAAATGTGTGTGAATGAAACAAAACACACTCCAAGTCTGTTTGTGATGAGGAAACATTAGAATAGAGATCAGGTAATGGTGTGGGCATCAGGGGCACCAAACTGAAATGGTTCCAGTTCTATTCAACAGACAGGACCTCTTCTGTTCAGTTAGGGCAGTTCACCTCTGTGGTGTCTGAGCTAAAGTGCAGTGTGCCCCAAGGAAGTATATTGGGCCCTGTTTTATTTGGCCTTCATATGCTTCCTTTGGGATCAGTATTTGAGAGGCACAATTTTACTTGTCACTGCTATGCTGCTGATCTACCTGCCACTTCAGACCAGCTGCTCTTTCCAAGCACTGGTGGATTACGTAAAGTTGTTTCAGGAATGGATGCAGTCAAACGTTGTGGGTTTGAATAAACAGAAAACAGTAATCATGTGCAGTAGGTCCTCTCAGCTCCTATGAAAAGGCATTTTCTAGAAATCTTGGTGGTGTAATTTTACATTTGAAAAGCAAGTGAGTAAGTAGTTCTTAATCGACTTTTTATCAGTTAAGGGTTTTGAGCAAAATCAAATTGTACATTCCACATCTGCACTTTGAATAGGCCATACATGCATGTGTGACCTCACAGCTCGATGACTGCAAGTGTTTGTGTGCTGCACTGACCAGGCCCAGCTCAGCCGCCTGCAACCAAGGGACCACATCACACTTACACTTACATCCTGCACTCGCTCCATGGACAGTTTAGAATCCATTTTAAAATTTGAATGATTGTTTTAAAGTGTCTTAATGCCGTCCTGACACCTTCCTATTCATTTGAACTCCTCCTCATTATTATTATCATTATTATTATTATTAGTAGTAGTAGTAGTAGTAGTTTGTTTTGCTTACTGTATGTTTTTATTTCACTGTAAATGTTGTTCAGCACTTTGGTAAGCTTTGAATGTTTTAAATGTACTATACAAATACATTTATTTATTTATTTATTTATTTATTTAATGAGACAGGGACAGTGCACAATTTACATGAAGATGCATTGTACCAGGTTGTAGCACCAGTGCTGATTTCCACCTGTCGTCCCTGGGCAGGTCCATTTATTGATTGTATTTAATTGACCTTAACTATCAGCTGTTCTACATTCTACATTTGATTTGATGTAATAATATGAGCCCTTTAAAACCACAGGCACTGTCCAAAACTCTAAAAAGAGCATGGCATTAATACGCCACAGGAATGTCACATGGTTATGGTTTAATCTTTAACAATAGAAACATGTCATATTAATACTGTTTTGTGATTGACAGGGAGGTCCTGGCATCAGAGGAGCCCGAGGAGACAGAGGAGAGCCCGGCCCAGTGGTAAGAGAACTAAACCAGGATTAAACCAGAACTAAACCAGGTTTAAACAATGACTAAACCAGGACTAAACAAAGACTAACTGGGACAATATATATGGTACAGAGATGGGACAGTGAGTATATGGTGCAGAGGAGCGTGGTGCAGAGGAGAACTCTTATTGGATGTGTTTCTCGCAGAGTCCCCGCTTGAGTACGTTGTCTGCTTCGTCGGTGTAGTTCCAGGATCCTCCCTTCGTTATAAACGCAGCTGATCCGTGTTTGACTTCACCTGGCCTAACTCCTTTTTCCAGACGCTGTCAAAACCACAAACAAACCAGTCAGGACGGAAAACTGAAAGGGCACATATTATATTATTATAATGATTATTTTCAGATTCATGTTATAATGTTTTTTCCTCATCCAAAACATACCTGGAGTTGTGTTTTGTTTGCTCATAAATATTCAGCTGCATGATGCAAAACTGTACACAACAACAGGACAAACCTGAGTTGATGTGCAGTAGTTTCATGAGTGGGACGCACGCTGATTGTGTTGTGATATGAAGGGGAAGTGACTTAATATGGGGAGCAAAGGTAAGAAGTGTCAAAACGAAAGTGAAACTTATGAAACATGTTCATATGTCAGAAAATATATCATTTTCAAAACCATAAAAGGTAACATGGCGATCTAAATATGTGATGCTGCAGTTATAGTGATTTCAGAGTCAGCATCACAAAGTGGTGCTACTGAGTAGGTGCCACGTCCCATAAGATGAAGATGAAAAGTTTGTGAAGCTGATCCCAAACAAAGAAGGAGAAGGAGGAGAAGTTTTGAGATTTCTCCTTTGCAAAATGGTAAATTGCCCATAGAGTTATATGTCTATAGAGATTTACTTGAAACTGAAGTCCACACCGTTGACCCATTTCCAGTCTCCTTGGTGGCGGTGCAGTCCGATCCATAGGTCCTCCTCAACCAACTTCCCTAAATACAACTGAAAGACAAATCACATTTAGGATTGAGTTGCACTGTGTAACTTTTCTGGAAAGAGTCTAGCACCAGTTTGTCTCCATGGAGATACAGGTGGAAATCCTGCATGTTTATGTGAGGGGGATCTCCTCTGTACAGATCTGACATGTATCCTGGTGGTGTCCATGGTGGTTTAATACTTTAATGGAAACTAATACTACAGCAAGAAGGTTCCATCCCTTGGCTCTGTGTAGGCTGAGTGTAGACTGAGTGTAGACTGTGTGTAGGATACGTGAACTCTGTGTAAGCTGTGTGTAGGATGTGTGTAGACTGTGTGTAGGCTGAGTGTAAACTGTGTGTAGGATACGTGAACTCTGAGTGTAGACTGAGTGTAAACTGTGTGGAGGCTATGTTTAGGATGACTGTAGGAGGTGTGTGAGCTGCGTGTAGACTGTGTGTAGGATGCGTATAGGGTGTGTGTAGACTGTGTGTAAACTGTGTGTAGACTGTGTGTAAACTGTGTGTAGACTGTGTGTAAACTGTGTGTAGACTGTGTGTAAACTGTGTGTAGACTGTGTGTAGACTGTGTGTAGACTGTGTGTAAACTGTGTGTAGACTGTGTGTAAACTGTGTGTAGACTGTGTGTAAACTGTGTGTAGACTGTGTGTAGACTGTGTGTAGACTGTGTGTAAACTGTGTGTAGACTGTGTGTAAACTGTGTGTAGACTGTGTGTAAACTGTGTGTAGACTGTGTGTAAACTGTGTGTAGACTGTGTGTAGACTGTGTGTAGACTGTGTGTAAACTGTGTGTAGACTGTGTGTAAACGGTGTGTAGGCTGGGTGTAGGCTGGGTATAGGCTGGGTATAGGCTGGGAGCAGGCCTCACCGATTTCTCTTGGTTGTTAATCACTGTCAGATTGGCCCCGATCTTCTCACACTCGTTTTGGCTCTGCTTCCAGCTCTTCGGACACAAAGACACAAAGAACGAGCTGTTCCCGGCGTAGAACTGGCGCTCAGGGCTTGGGCCTGGCACAACACACACCATGATAAATGGACTTTTACATCTAAACAGGCTTCTTCAGTGTCACTGACTCTGTGCACAACAGCCACCTCACTGGTACCTCACTGGTACCTCACTGGTACCTCACTGGTACCTCACTGGTACCTCACTGGTACCTCACTGGTACCTCACTGGTACCTCACTGCGTCCTGTGCAGTGTGATCTCAGAGGTTTTAGCAGATCAAATGAATACACACACTTGAAGGTGAAGCCGTGGACAGGCAGCTTCAGGCGGGTGGGACATCCTCTGATCAGAACGGGGAACGTTTGAATAACTCAGCGGTTTATAAAATTTCAGAAACAGACTTTAAATAAAATGATAAGTCTTGTGGTCATTAGTTTACACGTAGTTGACCCAGTAAGCTTTCAGACTTTTAATTTGAGCTGTCATTCAATTAAAATATGTCATTGTATTTAATCTCATCAATGTCATAGTTAAGTCTCTCCTGCGGCCCCTCCGTAGGTTTGTGGATGTGGTGGCGGCGCAGGGGAGTGGGGACAGCCAGAGGAGAGAGGCCACGGCGCTTCTGTTGCTGTCCGCAGTCCTTGTCGGGGTGGTCATGGTGGTTTCGCTGTATGTTTTAGCGTGGATTTAGTTTTGTGTTTTCCTCGTGTGGGTCAGTGTGTGCGCAGGGCTTGTGTGGTGAAGTCGTGCGTGTGCTCGTGCGTGGGTGGCCGTGCCGTGGTCT